GCCTTGGAAACCCTATGGAGCATTTCTACTCTGTCCTATAGGACCACTATGAGTCAGAATCAACTTGATAGTGATTGTTGTTGTTATGTGCCATCGAGTCGGACCTGACTCGTAGTGACCTCTCCTTGGGTTTCCGAGGCAGTATCACTACGGAAGTAGATTGCCCCATCTTCCTTTCGTGGAGCAGCTGGTCGGTTTGAACCACCAGCCTTCTGGTTAGCAGTCAAGTGCCTTAGCCACTATACTACCAGAGTTCCCAACTTGATGGTAGTATGTTTGTTTTTATATACACTACTAACATTTATGTACCATGAGCACATGCTTAGATTTTTATTAAAATTCCCATATATCACAAGATAACAGAAGTAAGTGACTTATAAATGAGGAGACCATGGGATGGCATGTAGCTGTTGTTGATGTTACCAGGTGCTATCAAGCTGGTTCCAACTCCAAGAACCCACGTACAAGAAAACTAAGCACCGCCCGGTCCTACACCAGCCTCACAGTTGTTGCTGTGCTTGAGCCCACTGTTAAAGCCACTGTGTCAGGCCATCTCGTTGAAGGTCCTCCTCTTTTTCCCTCTTTTTCTCTAGGGAGTGGTCCCTCCTGATAACATGCCCAATGTATGTGAGACGAAGTGTTGCCATCCTCACTTCCAAGAAGCATTGCACCTGTACTTCTTCCAAGACAGATTTGTTCGCTCTTCTAACAGTCTATGGTACATTAAATATTCTTTGCCAACACCATAATTTGAAGGCATCCTTCCTCTTTGGTCTTCCTTATTCCTCTCTGGTCTTTCTTATTCATTGTTCAGCTTTTGCATGCATCTGAGGCAACTGAAAATACCATGGCTTGGGTCAGATGCACCTTAGTCTTCAAAGTGAATTCTTCACTTTTTAACACTTTAAGATGTTCTGCAGCAGACTTATCCAATGCAATATGTCTTTTGAGTTCCTGACTGCTGTTTCCATGGACATTGATTATGGATCCAAATAAAATGAAATCCTTGACAATTTCAGTGTTTTCCGCATTTATCATGATGTTGCTTACTGGCCCAGTTGTGAAGATTTTTGTTTTTTTTTTGTGTTAAGGTATAATCCATACTGAAGGCTGTAGTCTTTAATCGTCATCAGTAAGTGCGTCAAGTCCTTTTCACTTTCAGCAAGCAAGAATGTGTCATCTGCATACTGTAGGTTAATGAGTCTTTCTCCAATCCTGATGCTGTATTCTTCTTTACATAGTCCAAATTCTCGGATTATTTGCTCAGAATACAGATTGAGTAAGTATAACGACAGAATGTACTCCTGACATACATCTTTCCTGATTTTTAAACCACACAATAATATCCCCTAATGACTGCTTCCCTGGTCTCCATATAAGTTCCTCATGAGCACAGTTGTGCTCATGAGATGGTATGGGATACCACAAATTTGAAAAAGCACAAACCTGTAATCAAGAATTTTCTTTATCTGAAATATTTAAAATTAAAATTTTCTAAGAAAACAACCAACCATTTATATTCAGATAAGAATATTGGTCATGTTAATTTATTATTTTAACTTGACACAAGCACTAATATATATAAAAATATACTATATGAAAATATAGTATTGGAAAAAATATACATATAAGTTCACTATTTAAATCTCTAATTTTTAATCAGAATGTATTTTCTAAATATTTTTCTTCACTGCACACTCTTAGATCTGTGAAAGCAGAAGTAATTTATCTGATATACAGATTTTTTTTTTTAAGAAACTGATTTAAAGAAATGGAATTCAAATTAAACCAGTTTAAATATTTTAATTTAATCCTTTAAAAACTGTTTTTTAAAACCACATAAGTTTGGGATAATAATTTAAAGTAGTATAAACAGGAGAACTTCAATCACTACAAAGAAATCACTATTTCAAATTTCAAGCAGCCTGTTCAAACCCACCAGCCACTCCTCAGAAGGAAGACTGGGCTATCTAATTCTGTAGAGATAGCACCTTAGAAACCCAAGAGGGGTCACTGTGAGTTGGAACCGACTCAATGGCTGTGAGAGTTGACAAAAGCAATAGAGTTGAGAGTAGAGGTTAGGATTCTAACACATATTTTGGGGGTATATAATTCATTTCATAATATCAGGAAAGACATCACTGAGAAAGTGACTTCTCAGTAAAGACGTCATTGACGACCTCATAGAAGTGAGGGAAACATAAAGCTTTAAAGCAGGAGAAGGCAAAAAGAGGGAACAAAAAGGTAGAGTTACAGGAGATGAAGTCAAAAGTAATGAGGAACAAATCCTGTAGAATTACGAAAGGACTTAGGCTTTTAATCAACTTATGTCACTCCCCATTTAAACACTGTATCTGGTCCCTGATTGCCCCAAACCCTCACCATGACCCTCACTATTTGGCTCATCTCTGCCTGCCATTCCTTTCTACCCATACATTCAGCCCCAAATACTCTACCTTAAACTTCCTTAAATATGGAGGAAAAAGCATCCACAACCGGAAGAAAGGCATTATCAACCTTTATACCACAAATTCTAATCCTCATGTATGCTCCACTATTAAGAGAATTTCTAATATTTTTCAATAAATATTTCAGGAATGTATGGGCAGGGGAAAAAAATGCTTTTTTGTATACCAAAACCAAAAAACAAACACACTGCTGCCAAGTTGGATCTGACTCATAACAACCCCTCCCAGAGTTTCTAAGGGGGTATCACTATGGAAGTAGATTGCCCAGTCTTTCTTCCAAGGAGTGGCTGGTGGGTTTGAACTGCCAGCCTTCTGATTAGCAGTCAAATGCCTTAGGCACTACGCCACCAGAGCTTCATCTTGTTACATGCATTCTTTTAAAATTTAACATTAACTGTATTAACATACAGTTAATCAGGGAAGTGATGGAGAAATGTTAATGGTGATTAGTTTATGTTAAAGGCATAATAGGGTGATTCTTCTCTCCTTTTTTCATCTGAAGAAAAAGAACACAATTGAGAGACATGAGGGATAATACCAATCTAATATACAAACTAAAGTCCCAAAAAACAAGTGATAAAAGGATAGAAGAAGATACAATGGCCAAGCTTTTCCATGACTAATGAAAGCCACACAGATTCAAGAAGCTCACCAAAACCCAAGCAAGATAATGGAAAGAAAATTCATACATCCAGGTAAATCATAGTCAAATGCTGAATATCAAGACCGTTGTTGTAATGGGCCGTCAAGTTGGATCCGACTCATAGCGACCCCTCCTTGGGTTTCCAAGGTATTATCACTATGGAAGTAGATTGTCCAACCTTCCTTCCAAGGAGTGGCTGGTGTGTTTGAACCACCAGCCTTCTGGTTAGCAGTTAAGTGCCTTAGGCACTAAGCTACCAGAGCTCCTGGCGAAAATCAAGATTAGGAGGGGTAAAATAGTAAAGTAGTCAGACAAAAACAAGACACATTATGTATCACAGAAAAATGAGAATGATGGCTGACTTCTCATGAGAAGCAATGTGAGTCAAAGGAAAGTAGAACTGTATCTTGAAAGTGTTTAAAGAAAAGTACTGCCAATCTAGAATTTTATACTCAGTGAAGGAAAGGCCATATACAATAAGGTGGAGGGCAGCACAACAGAACAGAAAAATACGTATTTTTTTATAAGGCAAAATAAAGGCATTTTGAGAAAAATTTTTTAAAATGTTAAAAAGCTGAGATAATTCATTGCCATAATAACTACACTTTAAGACGGAAATGTCATTTTGCAAGAAGGAATGAAGATATCAGAAAAGGTAAATATACACGTAAACACAAAAGGCATTTTTTTAAAATACAATTTAAAGTAACAATAACAATATATTATAAAGCATATACTATATGTGTAAGTAACATATAAAACAAAAAAGCACGGGATATAAATAGACAAATCCACAATCACAGTGAAGGGTCTTAATCACATGCCTTTCAATAAATACATTTTTAAAAGAAGGATCTAAAATATTCGAGGAACATCCTTACTAAAATTGACCTACACTGTACCCAAAAAATGCAGAATATACATTATTGACCGTCATATCCAGAATATTTATCAAAACTGACCATTATAGCTGAGCTGACAGAAGAAAATCTCAGTAAATATCAAAGGAAAAAAATAATACAAAATATGTTCTCTGATAGCGGTACAATTAAGCAAAGAATCAATAATAGTAAGGTAATCAGAAAATAATCAAGGAGAAGTCAACAAGTATACTTTAAAATACCAATTAGTCAAGAGGAAATCACAATGGGAATTGAAAACATTTTGAGGAAAATGATAGTAAATATACTACCAATGTAAATGAGTAAAAATGCAGAAAAATTAGAAAATTAAAAAAGATTATAAAGAATATAATGTAAGTCTGTCACCCATTGTAATAAAAGTCTATCAACTGAAAACAAACATTTTGTTATGTTCCTTTTCAATATTTTTAGCAATAAAGTATACATATAGTTTTGGCTCTTTTTTTAAATCTTAAAAACCTAAAAATTATGTATTTTTCATAAATTATATTTTAATAGCTGTAAAAATCTCCAACTTGTATATATCACCTTCTGTACAAACCTGTAGGGATGGTTCCTATTTTCACAACCTCATTTCCCAAGGAGTGCTTTGCACTGCAGTAATTTCAGATGTTAACTCCAAAAATTAGATTTAGGTCAAGAAAGTTTTAAATAAGTCCATAATACACTAAAGCATTAACTCTCATATATTAGACAAAAATATTTTTTCCTGCACAAACTTTTCCTGTACGTTACTATTCCTGGTAAGTGTTTTAGGTGTTCTTACCTCTTAATAAAAAGAGCTCTGCTAGCACAATGCCTAAGGCATCTAAATCTTAATAAAGAGGTTATGACAGCTGGTAAGACTGTAAACTTTCTTCATTCTAAATTCAATAAACCATTTAATAAATAAATATATAAATAGTATATCCCTAAAAGAATTTCTATTTGTAAAATATTACACCAAACAGTAGCATAATCACTTACCACTTGACCTATTTTTGCGACTTGATTTCCCACCAGTCAGAAGCATCTTGAGACTATTCCGAAACATGGTTGTGCTGCTGAGTATTACCAAAACTGTAAAAGAAAATGCGGGAAATTTTTTAAAAAAATTTTTATCATCTATTCAAAACACCATTAAGAATTAGTTTGAAATGCATTATACAGAATTAACTATGTTTAAATATAACATACTTCCTGCTGTCAGGTCGGATCTAACTCATAGCGACCCCTCCTTGGGTTTCCGAGGCAGTATCACTACGGAAGTAGATTGCCCAACCTTCCATCCAAGGAGTGGCTGGTGGGTTTGAACCGCCAGCCTTCTGGTTAGCAGTCAAGTGCCTTAGGCACTGTGCCACCAGAGCTCCTAGTAGCGTAGTGCCTAAAGCACTTGACTGCTAACCAGAAGGCTGGCGGTTCAAACCTACCAGCCACTCCTCGGAAGGAACAACAACAAGGGTTTCCAATACTATAAATCTTTATGGAAGTAGACTGTCTCAAGTTTTTCCCACGGGGCTGCTGGTGGGTTCAAACCACTGACCTCTGGTTAGCAGCTGCATGCTTTCACCACTTTACCACCGAAAAAACAGTACAATAATTTTAACTGTATGCCAAAGAGCTGAAACCCACTCAATGAACAAGAGATCATCTTTTTAACAAATGGTGTTGCTAAAACTAGACATTCATTTGCAGAAAATTGAAATAGGATCCATCTCTCACACTATAAACAAAAACTCAAAATGATCAAAGACCTAAATCTAAAACCTAACTCACAAAGATCATGAAAGAGAAAATAGGGCCAACAGTATTACACGTGACACACAATGGAATACTATGTACTGTTAAAGAATAATGATGAGTTTGCAAAAATCCTCACAGATAACATGGATAAATCTAGAGGCATTATGCTGAGTGAAATTAGTGAATCACAAAAAGTCAATTACTGTATGAGACCACTACTGTAAAAAGTGAATAGAAGGTTTACACAAAGAAAGAATCATTCCCTGAAGGTTACCAGGAGTGGGAGGGGAAGGGAGGCAAAATCACCAACTACAGGGTAGACATGTACTAACCTGGTTGACGGGAAAGGCAATATACAGTAAGGGGTGGTCAGCACAAAATAATCAAGGCAGTGGAAGACACAGGGAGGAGTACAAGAGTTGAAGGCAACTAAGGTGAATATTGGTACATACACAATCCTGCAATAACAGTAATAATAATTTACAAGTGGATAGAAAGATAGACACTCAGTCTGATCAGGGGTAGGAAGGCAAATGGAACCACACCCATGAATATATATAGGTTTGACAGGAGACATGTCCACTTATGTATCTGTATGTGCCACAAACATATTCACGAATGTACTAGACCATACAGGGGCAAAGTTATGAAAACTTTGTCATAACCAAACACCCTGAGGGAGTAAGTCACTGGGTATGGAGGCTTAGAACTATATTCTCAGGGGACACTAAGGTCAACTGGCATAACAAAGTTCACAAAGACAATGTTCCCAATCCTAATTTGATGAGCAGTGACTGGGGTCTTAAAAGCTAATGAGCAGGCATGTAAGGTGTAACTTATTGGTCTTGCCCTATCTGGAGCAAAGAATGAAGAAAATCAAACACACAAGGAAACAATTATTCCAAAGAAATAATGGACCACGTGAACCCTAAGCTCCATGACCCGAAGATCAAAAGAACTAGATGGTACCTGGCTACCATTGCTGACCACTCTGAAAGGGAACACAATAGGGGATCCTGGGTAGAGTGGGGGGAAATACAGAAGAAAACGCAAAATCATTAAAAAAGGAACAAGCTAACTGGGCTGATCAAGACTGGGGAGTCCCCAAAACTATGGCCGTTAGACACCCTTCAAGCAAGGAACTGAACTCTCATGACTGAACTGTCAGCCAAATGACAAATAGGTCCATAAGGTAAACGGTAATACCAAGAAGGTATGCACTCATTAGAACAAACAAGTATATAGGATCAAGAGGACAGCATTTGCCCAGGGATACAGGTAGGAAAGTGGGAGGGGATGGGAAAGAAAGATGAAGGGAGAGAGTGGGTACAAGAAGGAAGTGGGAAGAATGTTGTTACAGTGTAGGGATCTGTGACAGAAATGTCACAAAACAGAGTATGTTTCAATTGTTGAATGGAAAACAAATTTACTCTGTAAACTTTTATCTAAATTACAATTTTAAAAAAGAATTTTCAACTACACAACAAAAAAAAAAAGACAAACATTTAAGTAATTCCTTAAAAGCACACTGTAACACTTTGGGTACCTAAAGAAACAATGGAAGATTATCACCAAGGGTACTCAAAAATAGAATGTAGCTACCTGTTCTGGTTACCTCATGCCTCTCT